TAGAAACACCCCATTAGTATTGTATGTACATCGATGTGATAAATGTTTTAATTATAAATTAAATGACGCGGGTATTGTGCAGAAGTTAAAGATAAGCTTCATATTCATGTGGGCGTAAGCTGTTCTTATATTCTTTATTCAATTATGTAAAGTTAGCTAAATTAATTTTTTTACTTTTCTATAATAGTACGGCAATGAAAACGGTTTCTAACGGCATAATGGCTACCCTCGATAAATTGTATCCACCTCAAAGTCAATCATTATCTAGAGCAATATCTGAGTATTTATACATGTCTAGCCATGGTTGGCCGTTCATTAAGATTCGTATAGATGTTACGATCACTAACGAAGTATATGCGAGTTAACGGAGTCTTTGCCAGGACTAGGCTTAGTCGGTCAGCAGCAATTAAGATTTAAATGAAGATTGCCAAACCGAAAAGAGACCTTTTAGTTCCATAATGGCTGATCGTTCTGCGGACTTCCATAAGCTATTTCCTGCCTCTAACTCCCCTAAAGAGTTACTCTCTGACTGGTATTAGTCAGTACAAAATACTCCTTCATTATAATATAATACTTGGACAAAAAGTAATTTCCTTGCTAAAACAATTACGTACATTGAATTTACTTTTTACAGACTTTGGGGAATACTTCATGCTCTTCTAGTTCGCTACGCACGAACTAGTTTTGCCTACACCCGTGGACCTTTTATATATCTATCGTTTCACGATAGTAAGACATCGCAAAGGAAGGAGTAAATGTTACACTTAGGCATACCATCAACGGTTGCTATAAATATTCCTAACTTGTTAGGCTTTTATAAGACATGCTTGTTAATTTAAAACAGTCATAGTTATGGTAGATAAATAAACTGATTTCTCTAAATCTTTCACAGTTATACATTAATTTTTATCATAAAAGAACAACTTCTTTCTATTTTGTTCATTTCTACTTTATTTTAATTTCGGTTATGCTTAACAACGACAACCTTGCAGTGATCATTCAGATAACCGTTTATCGTGATTATAGTAATAAGCTTACTAACGACGTATTGCTGAATTTATATGAACGCTATAATGTTTACAAATATTTCGCCTATTCCACTCACGTTTGGGATATTGATACAGATAAAATTTCTTCACGTTTTGGATGGCCGGGTTATGGCGGAATGAGTAGAGTGAAAAAAAAAAAAAAAAGAAAAATAGAACAAAAACTCTACTTCATTTATTTCATTCAAGAGTGCGTCCCCGGGAGTGCGTCTGGTCCGTACCGCAGTGCGCACCTCTTACGCCCTTAGCAAATGACTAATTGAAGGAAAAACGAAAGGAGAAGATACAGCATCAAAACTGGCACATAGACAAATGATGTTATTCACTCCTTTTTTTGTTTAACGAAGATGCTGTACCTACTGGGCCAGTGCGACACGTGGTTAGGATCTAAAGTACTCACAAAAGGAAGAAAATGGCGTTTCTTTTCTATAGTGTGACGGTCGGCTGTTCAGTCATTTGCAATTCGCCTGGGGGTAGAAAAGTTTAACTTGCTTTTTCTTCAATAACACGAGATAACGGGATAATAATAAAAAAAAAAAAAAAAAAAAAAAAACAATCGGAAACAAAGACCTGTCAATTTATGCAACAGCCTGCGTCCTGTTCCTCGGTGTTTCTGGGTTGCAGCGCGTAAAATACAAGTCCTGCTTTTGCGTTAAGTCCTGGGTCGCAAGCATTTAATTCGGCTTTCTTTGCTAATTCCGGTGGCACGTTTGCTAGTTCAGATCAACAACCTTAATGTCGATTATCTTAAAAATTTCGGAAATAATAATGATAAACATATGAATATACTATTAATTTTCTACTAATACTGAGTAGCTCAGATTGATCATTTTTAAGATGTATTCTTTCATGGTAGTAAAATGGATTGCTAACTAATTAACTAGTCACCTTGTCATTGGTACCTATGCATGAGATGTTGGTTGTCTAGAAAATGCGCTTCATCCATCACTGACATTTGCGCTGTGTGCCCCGAGAAAAGCGGGACGTCTTCTAACTGCATTCTCATTGTGAGCGAACGCAGATGCGTATGGGAGCTCGACCAAGACAACCCTTCACGCTAAGCGTGTACCAGCCAGCATACTCTGGCAAGAACTGCGAGGGTACGCGTAAAAGTGTGCATATATATACGCATATTGACAATACAGCCAATAAACGGAGAGCAGCCTTACTATCACCTGTGACAGTTTCCATTCGTCGGTTTCTTAGCTTCTCCGTTCCCGCTATACTTGCAGTTAAGTGGTGTGTTTACCCATTGATATGGACATTGGTGGCCGACCGTTGGTCGAACAAAAGTAGTGCATAGACACGGGTACATCAAGGCTAACTTTGAGCAGAGAGACAACTACCTCCTCGTACTAACAGTAAATTATTTTCATAGACTGCTTTTTCATAGTCCCTGTTTTAAGGTTAACATTAATTCAGTGCGTATATAGCCATTGCTGCTACTGCCAGCGCTGCTTATTCTGCTTCTGTTGCTATTGTCAAATCTCAGGTTCTCCCATCTCGCACTGTCGCAATTTCTTTGTTGTCAAGAGCTTTCGTGAATAGCCCATAGGAACTGTTCCACCAGATGAGGCCAACACCAAAGGGCCTAGCAATTTTGAGACTGAAAGAAAGGTTAGCAGAGGACTTTCTGTTTTCTTCGGAGAGTTATATCGTCATCAGTAATCATCGCTGCACGAATCGGTATGGAACGGCATTTTTTAAAGCGAAAAGATTTCTTGCCCCCCGTTTAGGGCACGGACACTGCGCGACGAGACGAGCTCCTCAAGCATGGTATAGGGCTTAAGAAACGCGAACCACACGGAAGGAACACTTTTGACTCAGCTAGACGGGTGCGAAGTGTGGCGATAGCGAAAGGCATGATTGGAAGTCCGCTATTAAAAATCAACGAAGTGCAAACGCGTTAACAAGACAGAGCATCAAATAGACGGGCGAACAGAGCTGATTAGTTAAACGCTAAGTTACTAAACCGGTCCGACGGGCTATATTAGGCTGCAATGCAATGTAAATAATAACTGTAATACTGCATTATTGAACAGTACCGATAATTTCGAACTTATGATCGATAAAATGGAGAACGTGATAGCCTTAGGCAGAGTAATACTTGCCCGAAAAAGTTCAATCATAGACCTTCATGGGCAACATGAGATATATTTTTCCAATTCTTAATGTTAGAGGTAGTTAAGGAACTGTTTCTACCAATGCTTTTTGACTGTTACCACAATACAATTCATGTTTAATACTAAACGTGTATTCTATCCTTTCGTAAAGAAGTTCATAAAGCAGATTCCCAATGATTAAGGAGATCACAAAGGGGTCAAGTTTAACAGTCCTGTAGTAACGGTTTCTGCCAGATCCTTTTTCAGTACCAACTGGACCTTAACGGTTAAGACCAAACCAAATAAGGCGAATAGAAAAGGGCCGATTACTTATTAAGACTAGTATGATACGTCAGCCGTGTCGACTTGGGTGTAATATAGTTCCGAAAGGCGGACAAACAAAAACAAACCGCCCGTTTGAACAAACACGGCAGATCGAGGAATGGGCCCTGTAGGATGCTGCCGTAAGAAAACCAGCGGGCGCGTCGGGCTTTTGGGGCCAACTAGAGTACGCTATATAAAGCTAAAGCGAGGGAACATGCTTGAATGGGAAGTTAGAAGCTATGCAAAGATCGGACCGTTGATTGATGAAGATCGGTATATAAGGCATCCGCCTGGAGCTTTACTCCCGCTGATGATTGCGGTTCCGGTCGTTACCCCCACCTTCGGTCTCAATCAAATCCCTCCTGCAACGATCATTAGCTTCCAGTTATTGCTGTCGTTGATAAGTCTATTTTTTTCGTTATCTTGTTTGCCAAGCAGTGAGTAGCTTAATAGTTCTAAGACGCTAGAGTAGATATTAAAGTGAAGGCTGCTGCTTCTGCTGCCACTGCCACTCTTCTTTAGCGGTAGCAATCGTAGAAGATCAACCTAGAAATATAATGAAGTAATATGGATTTTATCATGATACCAGCCATTTTGTGACGCAGATAACTGGAACTTGTGCACTCAATAAAGAGCTATAATATAAAGAGTCTTCATGGACGCTAGCATTGTTAAGTTCTGGCTGACAATGCATTCAACTAAAAGCATGAACATCGTAACGCCTTAGGACAGACATTTCGTCAATACTGCTCTTGCATAGAAATATACGTAGAGAGTAATAATACACTGTGTACTGCCAGATTTTGTTAAAAAAAGTGCGTACGGCAACTGAGGTATAAGTCAACGCCTAGGACGCTGGTACGTGGCCATCCGCATGGTGGCACGTGTAGGCACGATTTTTTTTAGCTAATTCTGATTTTTAGTTATGCCCATATAACAGTAATACGCTATGGTGGTCGTGTCAAGCGCTGGACAGAACAGTGGTTACATAGCAAGTGTATATTATACGCAGTCAATTTTCACAAAAGGCAGATTCTGTACCGAGCTAATAGGATGGCTGTTATAATTGTTACCTATGTTATTACCTTATAATAGGTATTGGCCTTTGTTTATATCTGTATTTTGTTATTAACAGTGTATCAAACGCGCTGATAACCCTATACTCCTAGTTAGATAATTTAGTCATATTAAGCAAGCTAGGCACGTATTATGCACGCAAGCGCCGCCTAAGCCACATCGATCTATTTCAAGCAAACGGTTATTGCTCTAACCTTTGGAGGATCGATCTTTAATTAATACTAGTAGTCAGCATATGGCATATTTAAATGGTTTTGAGTATTTTATAAATGATGATCCTACAGCAAAATGTAATAGGTAAATATCGACTCGAACTTTTTTATAGGCGACCACAAACGTTGCCCGAGTTTATTTTTATTTACCTTTACTTTGCTGCAAAGAAAACGTCGCATTTCTATAACATTACAATTGTTTTGTTTCTCTCCCCACACATATGTTTTGTGTTACTCAGGCCGTCATCTAGTGCACCATTCGCGTCTGCCGATGTCAGGCGAAGGAAACTTGGACCTCAACCGTTACAACCTCAATCACTTCAACCACTTGGAACGGGAGCGACCTTCAATCAACCGGACACTTACCCCGACCAACGTTACTGGACAGCTTGGGGCAACCGTTTATTTGCACTGCGTTGTCCACAACCTCGGCCAAAAAACGGTGAGTATTTTGACGCTGGGAGCGGGAGTACCATTATTGAATCAGTAGCTCACTAGTTCGATCAGGGTCTGTCAATCTGGTTAAGCTACCGTTGCTGCCATCGCTGTTTACAAGTGATATATGCATCCTTTTGACATTGAGTTTCTCGTGTATCGCGGAATTTGCGGGGTTAGCAGGGTCATCTCTTCCTGGTCGTAAACATGCGGTCGCTTTGCCATGGATTGTACAAGCCGATCCGACGAATCCATTACTATGAATAGCCGTCGGCACTTCTAAACTCTGGCATATACAGCCTTCCACCGCAATTCTGTCAACGCAAAAACGCTCGATCAATGTTAGAGAGTGATAAGCAAGCTTACTACTATTAACGTGGATTTCGATTTGTTAACTAAAGTAGACAAAAACTGTGGATCTTGGAAGGAAGACCGCGATAAAACCTGAGGAGGCGTATGGCTAGTATGGGCTTCCAAGAAAAAAAGAGGTTATATTTAACCAAACACAACATCTTTGAGGCCTTTTAGCCCTCGCAGACTGAACGCTTCAGCAAGTCCTAGGAAGAGGCCGGAGGGAACTACAAGGAAAGGCGAAAACGTCTTTACTGCTGTTCTGGCTTGCTCCTGCTGGTGGTACTGTTGCTGAACTACAAGCGCAGAACTGTTGTTGGCGCTTTATACTGTTAGATATTTAGACAGGACACGCAAAACGACAACAATTCGTGTGTTGATCACATAAAATTGATCTGACGTATCACATGTGTTTCACAATAATATATTAAATTGAAACGAGGATTGATCGTTGACAATCTCTATCTAAAATGGATGAGTGGATATACTAGAACAAGGCTGGCTTGACAAACTCTGATATATAGTCCTTTATCAGTATTTTTTTAACTGGTGACCAGTTGTAGGTACAGATTATTCGTCTTTTTAACTATAATATAAAGTCGCGTATAACATATCCGAACTATGATTACGTTAGTATGAGGTGCAAAACGGTCCCCAAACCTCGAATTAATACACTTCATCTGGACACATTTTGCTACAGACGGCGGACGTTATTATAAACTCCACTATTTTTAGTCGAACAACAGAGCGAACAATATGCTACAGACGCATATATTATTAGCATGAGATGTTAGATTTCTTCTTTCGTACTACCTCTGATGCCGCAGTGCGATTACCAACATAGATCGGTGTATATGAAAAAAAAAAACAAAAATTTCAACGAACCCCCCTCTTCACGCACACACGCAAAAGGTAACTGAGACAACCACAATCGTCCACTGCAGCACCGTACGAAATAACACTGTACGGTTATGAGTCACGGTGCAGTGGACCAAAAAGTTCTATAATGGCCGACCGGGGAGAAGGGTTGTTGGATAAAATAAGGAAAAGATCGAAATTACTGCTTTTGCTCACAGTGATCAAGCCGCTGAGCTGTGTGAAGTTCTAGATGGTAAGCTGGCAGATGGGAAGCGCAAGGTTGATAGGAACTGAGTTACTTCTGTGGATAGCATATGATAGCAATCAACAACAGTTACCACAAAACACAGAGAGAGAGAAGTCAAGGTTGTGCCGATATGTGACATAGGGTCGAAAGACACATAGAAAGAGAGTAAAAAATCATTATGGGAAAGGGACATTTGAACGGAAGATAGCTTGTCAACCTCAACAAATATTAATACAATAGAACAGAGCGGACCCTAGAACAGAGGGCTAACAGCAACAGTTTCAGTCGCTATTTCGAGCCGCCGAGGTTCCCACATGTATTTTAGTATAATTTAATATTTAGGTATTTCTATTTTTTAAATATCGGCGACGGCAACTAGAACGGCGTCAAGCGTTCGACGCTCATCTGTCTTAAACACAACGTACAACTTAAAGATACAGGATAACTGCTGGCTATCAATATCATGCTAATGACCCTATCTAAGTTCAGTCATAGGAAGACATTTAGGCGAACTATTTCGTGTTATATCATGATAAACTGAAGACACATCTCACTTGTGCATGGCGTGGGTACGCTTTCATATGCATATATCAGCATTCCATAAGCTGGTAAGATATGCAATTGATTGGAAAGATTAACTAAAATGATAAAAATGATAATAACAGTAAAAGGATGGTAGTAAGGTAGTAGGAAGGAGGTAAAAGGGTCCTCGGCCGCCATATTGGAGTGTTCATTCGTATTCCTTTATAAGTGACGACGTGGTGACAGATGACCGGATAATGACGGTCTATTGCCACCCAGCAAACATGGTCCTTGGATCGAAGTACAATAAATCAGAGGGAAATGAGAAGTACTGTTATGCATTAGTTCCGCAGCCGCAGTTACTATGACGTAAGAAAAGGCAAATTATTATCATTATTGATTATACGCGTCTAAATACGAAACAAATGAACACTGGTGGGAAAAAGAACTTGGGCGAGATATCACAGGCACGTTCGGCTTTTGTGCAAAAAAAATAATCCAATTAAACGAACTAAATTGAGTTAAGTGAAATTACATTGGAAATTAGCTAAAGAGACCAAAAATAAGAGGCCATGCGCAGCATTAGAACCTGAATAGTAGTTTGGAGTTGCAGGTAAGAAACAATTACGTTTGACATAATTTGAATATTGGAGCCTAGAACAATTTTTCTAGCTTTCGACAACGAATATTCGTTAGGGATAACTAAAAATAGTCATAATTCCGTGCAAGTATATATTTATTATATATCTATATTGTTAAGCATGAACAGGACGATTCGAGTCGGCTGGTCTTTTTGTACATATGTAATCGCTCATGCAGAATTCATAGGCGTACAAGCAGAAATAATGGTTATGTAACAGTGATATCAGCCAATGTATTTATTCGAGGTTTTTTTTTTGACAAAGCTATTAAATACAACATGTTGTAATCCATCTCCGCTACTCGGTTTCTGATCGAGTAACTGGGTTTCAGCTACAATAGATATTTGGCAGTCATTTGCGTTCGTCCCCGGCAGGGATCTATAGGGCGCCGGACTCACCGCTATGAAATCTCAGGCTTGATCCAGAAATGAGAGAGAGAGTTTTTTCAGATTATTTGAATTCTTCATCTTAACTATGACAATGTCTTTGTGTGATGTGACAAGCCGACAGTGTTAAAATCAGTACACTTGGTGTTGACAATATTATTCGACGTGGACCCCACTTTACCACAAACCCACCGCCCACTGTGAGTGTCAGCGTTAAGAGTTTGCAGACTCTACATGAAAAAAAAAACGATGAAATTTACCATTTTGCACTTAGAAACACAACAAAATTTAACTCTTAGTTTGAGCGACGGGTTGACCTCGCAGTAATAACATTGTTTAGATAATTCTTTTACCTGGGAAGAAATTTCCGCACGTTTGCCATTTTTACTCTTGCTACCTATCTCAATGTCTTCACCGATCAAATCGATTATCATAATCTGTCCGGATCCGATTTCTCTCTAGTTTTTCTATGTTTTATATCTAAGGCGCCCGTTCTCACTTCCGTCATTGAAACTCTTATCTGAACAATATCAACCACTTGCCCCTTCAAAGCCATTGAATATTGATGGAAATTAACTAACGGCTCTATGGCTGAGAAAAGTCGGTTATCTAAACTATAAAACCGGTCCTATGCAAGACGGATATCTAAAGCATCTTCATTCATCATTTTCCGTCTAGATCTTAATATACATTTTCTGCACCAGCGACACCCCGCATACCCCATACCGTTTTTCACTGAAGCCCCCTTAGCCTGTCTTTGTTTAGAGTATATATGTTATTCAATTTTGGTTGAAACGAAAGCCAACAACAGTCTATATTTAGATAGATAGGTGTATAAAGTTGAAAAAGTTGTATTATACATCTATCAGGGAATCAATCGGTTTCGCACATTATTCCAATCCGAATTTTATTTTGAAAGGTTTCTCCGACCACTTATATAATTGCGTATTAATCTTCCTGGAGCCAGCTCCGAATTGTGTTGGCGTAGTAAGCTTTAGCGGTCAAAGAATGTTCTACAGTAATACAAAATCGGTAATGCGTAATTCTGGGGGTTTGCTTGATCCGGGATAGTGCCATTAATGTTCAGTCCCTGACAGAAAATTTTAAGGTTGAATAATCCCAACAGGCATAGTGGTAACATCATTGCCTGCTGGTCTAATAAGTCGTAATTAAATCTGCCGGTAGTCAGGAATCCTGAAGAGGGTTGCTCGTAGTCTAGGTAGTTAGTTAAACAAATACTAGGCCAGATGCTACATCATGTTACTTGCTAGCTTTACGGTGTGCTTACGATAAGCCCACGGACCTAAGTCAGAAAATCAGCGGCCAGTAATAAGGCGCTAATGCTTTCCCATACGCATCAGACACACTGCACGATGCTTTAGTGAGTACGAGTCAGGCCAAATGGAAAGAATTCTGAAAGGAATATTGTCGACATCTGTGGCTTTCAAGGGGCCGGTGCTAGATAATGATCGACAGTATAAAGCGCATCAGTCTACCGTCCCCTGAATAGCACTCTATCGTTGACCCCACACCGGCCGTATTACTTCTGTTCCTGTCGGTGAGCTCTCTCCACCCTAAGGGGACTTGTTGTACGTTAGTTTGAAGTTCGGTGAATTCTTTCGTATTCTAATCTACGCTACTATTTAATAGCTAGTGCATGAAGTTTCATGCTGCTTTTGCGCTGAATTAAATCCTTTTGCGATGAAGTCGTCGAGACCAGGTCGTCATCGGAGCTGAACGACTATATTCGAAACTAGATCTACTAAACCAGCCGTTGACGGATCGCTTATGTTGAAGAAAGGATATGCGTTTTTCCGAGCATGAACTTGTATTTGAAAAACTGGAGAAGAGGTTTCTATAAGTGGCTTTTATGAAAACACATCTACTTAGGTTAAAATGGTCAGTGATGTTCTATAAGCAGTGGCTAGTAATAAAGTTGTTTCGCTCTATGTGCACAGGTGGTCAAGTGCCAAGATTGGTATATTGTTTCGGACACTAGATA